GTAAAAAATTAAAAACACACCCCCCTTTACCCAGTCCAAATAAAAATTAACCCCTTCCCTGCCAGTCGATCACTGCCTACAGTGATCAAATACAGATCACAGTATTATACTGTGATCTAATTTTTTTTAACCCCTGAAGATTAACTTTTATTTATTTTTTAACCCTCAGGGGGTTCAATTTATTTAATTAATTAATTAAAATATTTTATAACTATATATTTTGCTAGCTGGGGTGGGTGGGAGGTATGGGAAAATGGGGAATTTACTGTTAGTGCTGCTTACTGCTAGTTAGGGGTTAACGGTAAAAAAAAAGCTCAGAAAAATGTTAAATCTGTAAAAAAGTTTTTAAGAAAGTTTAGGAAAGTTTAAAAAAAATTAATAAGGAAAACAAAAGTTTAAAAACTAGTTTTTAAAAGTAAAAAAGTAAAAAAAAATACATTTTAAAAACGCTCATTACCACTACACCTGGAACAAACTAGAGAAAAAAATTATCCCACGCCAAGGTTCAAAATATGCCTTTTGAATTACCCCAGGGTGTATTCTTTAATAAATAGTATGTGTTTGTGGGAAGTTTCAATAACCAACCGTCTAAACTACTCCAAATTGGAACATGGACACAGCGTAAAACTTCAAAGTTAGAAAAAAACTGAATGGCTGCGTCTCAAATGCACCCCTTCAACAATGCTGTACTCAGCCGACATAGCTGAGCAACATATGAAGTATTATACAGTCATAGCACACATAAGGTTTGCAAAATATACATCGCAAACTCACTCTGTGTGTCAAAAAGGCAGAAAAAATGCTTATTACCACTACACTTGGTACAAGCTTGCGGAAAAATGATCCCACGCTAAGGTTCAAAATATGCCTTTTGAAATACCCTTGGATGTCTTCTTTAAGAAATGGTATGGCTTTATGGGGTATTTGGATTATATAGCCTGGTAAAATACTCTAAAATGGGACATGGGCACAGCCTAAAAATTTAAAGTTTGAAAAAAACTGGAATGGCTGTGTCCCAAATGTGCCCCTCCGATGTCCACATATACCCGGCAAAGGTACATACGGGGTATTGCTGTACTCAGCCGACATATCTGAGCAACATATGAAGTATTATACAGTCGTAGCACACATAAGGTTTGCAAAATATACTGTGCAAACTAACTTTGTATGTCAAAAAGGCAGAAAAAACGCTTATTACCACTACAACTGGTACAAGCTAGTGGAAAAATGATCCCACGCTAAGGTTCAAAATATACCTTTAAGAAATGGTAGGCCCTTGTGGGGTAGTTTGAATTTAAAACCTGCAAAGATGCTTGGAAATTGCACATAGGCCCAGCGTCAAAATTCAAAGTTTGGTAAAAACAGATATGACTTGGTCTCCTATATGGCACTGTAGCTTCACGAAATAGTGCCAAAGACATTCATTGGGGGTGTCTTTTTACTCAGAAGACTTAGCTGAGCATAATTTGGGAGGTTTGAACTTAGTGGCACATATGAAATATACAAAACGCCCAGCAAAAATGCAATCCGTATGTAAAAAATGCCCAAAATTATTTTTTACCACATACTTTGGCATATATTGGTGAAAAAATGGGGGCATGTTAAGGCACAATATGCACCTTATAAGATACCCTGGAGTGTCTACTTTTACAAATGGTAGGCCTTTGTGGGGTTTTTTTGAACAGTCAAACTGTTATAATACCTCAAATGGAAGCTAAGGCTCATTAAATCCATCTCTCAAAATTCTACTGTGAATACTGAAAAGGACAGGTATCCTGTATGGCACTGTAACTTCACGAAATAGTGCAAAAGACATACAATGGGGGTGTCATTTTACTCAGCAGATGTAACTGAACCCAAAATAAAACTTTGTACAGGAATAGCACACACCAACTTTACAAAATATACATGAGAATTTCTTTGTTATAAGTTTGTGTGCCAAAAACCAAAAAAAACACAATTTTTCTCCAATATTTAGCAGAGGTTGGCAGTGAAATGGCTACTTAGAAAGTGTCAAAACAACCTTAGGTAAATAGCCCGTGATGTCTACTGTATGTAAATATATACCTTTGTGTGGGAATTTTGTTTTCTTTTATGGCTATTAACTCCTTAAGGACCGAGGACGTTCAGGACCGGGCTAACGGGTATTTTTTTCCCCTGCCGACCGATGACGGTCCTGAACCGTCCTAACGGTCTTAGTTACTTACCTGATCGCCGCCGTTCCCCCGGCGGCGATCAGCGTGGCTCCGGTTGTGTTGAGACTGCCTGCAGCCCAGACAGTCTCCCCACACTGAATTAGGACCCCTGTGGCCATGTGATCGCTCAACACAGCGATCACATGGTCACAATAGGTGTCCTAGTGTCTACCTGCAGGGGGACTGCCTGTGCTGACAGGCAGTCTCCCTGCTAGTGTAAAATCAGAAAAAAAATTAAAGTTAATGGTAATAAAAAAAATAATAATAATTATATATGTATAAATATGATATATAGACATATATTATATCTATATAATATATGTCTATATATCATATATATATAATGTCATACTAAGTGTATTTTTATATTAATATGTACTTATATTAATATAAAAATACACTTATAATTAAATTACACACTTATATATATAATATATATAATAACTATATATATTGTATATATATATTATTATAAAATATAAATAATAAGTAATTTAAATTAAATAAATTTTTTTAAATAATAATAAAAAATTTAAAAAAAATTATATAGCTATATGAAATTTTATTCTAACTGTATTTTAAAATTACTATATATATATTTATATCAAAATACACTTAGAATGAATTTGTATATATATCTATGTATATATAAATAAATAAAAATAATACAAAATATACATATGTCCATATACAAAATTACATAAATAATTATATAAATATGCATGTAGATTTCAAATATATAAATATGCATATATATTTAAATTCTACATGCGTATTTATGTAATATTTTTACATAATTAAGTAATTTTATTGATTGCAATTTGAGGGACCTGCCTGCCAACCTAGGCCGAAAGTCCAGAGAATTTAATTTGCTAGCATCAGATAATTCTGTAACGCTCTATAACACTAAAATTTGTGGGAGCAGTAATAGTTTTTACTGAAGAGCCTGCTTAATCACAAAGAGTTATGAGCCTAAACAGTGTCACATCACAGCGATGATATTGTCAGTGAAAGTGACTTTTTTGCATTTTTCACACACAAACAGCACTTTTACTGATGATATAATTGTTGTGATACGTTTTCCAGTTTTTAAACACTAATATTTGTGTTCAGCGATGTCTCCCGAGTAAAACAGTACCCCCCCATGTACAGGTTTTATAGCATTTTTGAAAGTTACAGGGTCAAATATATGGGTCAAATATTTTTACACTGAAAATGGCCAGGTTGGTTACATTGCCTTTGAGAGCGTATGGTAGCCCAGGAATGAGAATTACTCCCATGATGGCAAACCATTTGCAAAAGAAGACAACCTGCTAGTATTGCAATGGGTATGTCCAGTCTTTTTTAGTAACCACTTGGTCACAAACACTGGCCAAAATTAGCGTTCAATTTAGTTTTTTTACTTTTTTCACACACAAGCAAATATGAATGCTTACTTTGGCCAGTGTTTTCGACTAAGTGGCTACTAAAAAAGACTGGACATACCCCATATTGAATACCCTGGGTTGTCTACTTTAAAAAAAATATGTACATGTTGGGTGTTATTCAGAGATTTATGACAGATAATAGTGTTACAATGTCACTATTGATAAATTTTAAAAATGTATGTTTTGAAACCGCAATATCCTACTTGTATCTATAGCCCTATAACATGAAAAAAAAAGCAAAAAAGCACGTAAACACTGGGTATTTTTAAACTCAGGACAAAATTTTTAATCTATTTAGCAGTTTTTTTCATTCGCTTTTGTAGATGAGTAAAAGATTTTTCAAGTAAAAGTCAAAAACATGTATTTTTTTTCAATTTTCATCATATTTTTTTATTTTTTTTAAATTAAAATACATGAGATTATATAAATAATGGTATGTAAAGAAAGCCCCTTTTGTCCTGAAAAAAACAATATATAATTTGTATGGGAACAGTAAATGAGAGAGCGGAAAATTACAGCCAAACACAAACACCACAAAAGTGTAAAAATATGCCTGGTCGCAAATGTACAACATCGCAAAAACAGTCCAGTCCTTAAGGGGTTAAAAGCACAGTCACTTTATTATAATCCACTGTGTTATAGTGGAAGATTTTTTGTATATCTTTTTTTAATGTCCTTTCACTTTGTTGTCCTGACAGGACAAAGTCTGCAGAGTAGATCAATCATTGAGATAATTAAAAAAAAACGAAATTTGATCTTTACTGAACACAACATAAAGTGTGAATGACTTTTCTGCACTAGAGACTAAGAAAATAATAAAAAGTAAAAAAAAAAACAAAAAAAAAAAAACAACAAGGAATGTATGGAGGATAAATCACAGCTAAGAGTCACGCTGTGCTGTATGACATAATTTGGTTCAACCGCCACCTCCCCGCCGCGGCTGCAGCCAAAGGGGGCTTTCACGCCTGCCCAGCTAACGTACTGGTCGAACAATATCCAGGGTCTCAATGTGCCAGAGAAGTGCTCACGCCTGCTCAAAAAGCTGTGGGCCGCGAGAGTGTCAATGGTGTTCTTGAAGGAGACGCACTTCAGAGGCAGCGAAGCACCCAAACTAGAGAATCGCCGCTTTCCAGCAGGATATTACGCAAACCACCCGGATGCCAGGAAGGCAGGGGTGGCAATATTGTTCGCACACACGGTACCTTTCCAATGCACGGCGACATTGGCAGATCCTAATGGGCGCTACCTTTTTCTCAAGGGCACCATAGCAGATCATACATATACCTTTGCATGCCTGTACAGTCCCAACAGAAGACAACATATCTTCATAAACCGAACCCTAACCAAGCTGGAGAGCTTCAGGGAGGGTCTGTTGGTGATGGCGGGGGACCTGAACCTGCCGCTCGAACCCCGCCTGGACACCTCCAGAGGCACAAGCGCGGTGCCCGCACACTGCATACATACAACTCTGTGGGCCCTGAGCAGGCTGGGGCTGGTGGACTGCAGGAGGGCTAGTCACCCGGATGACCGAGACTACACCCATTACTCGGCGGTCCACTCGCACTACAACCGCATTGACTACATATTCCTTGCGCAAGAATTTCTGACTCTACTGCATAATACCGACATCGAGCTGATGGAACACTCCGATCATGCACCTGTGGTGGCTCGCACAAGATCCCCACTGTTTAAACCTAGAGAACGACAGTGGAAACTTAATGAGTCCCTTCTCGACGATCTCGAACTCAAGACCACGGTAGTTGATACCCTAACCCAATACTTCACTGACAATGAGAATATGGAGGTGCCTCCATTGATGCTTTGGGAAGCGCATAAATGTGTCATCCGGGACCACCTCATCGCTGCGAGCACCAGGCTCAAAAAAAACTGGACTATACGCTTGACCACCCTAACGAATAGCAGAACTAGAACACGAACATAAACACACACTGGATGAAGGCACCTACCTCCACCTCACAGTGGCCCGCAGGGAACTTCGAGACATACTATCTCAGGGACAACTACACACCACAAGAAAGTCAGCCAGATTATTTTATGAACACTCCAATAAGAGTGGCAGGTTGCTGGCAAGGATGCTACTGTACAAACGGAGGACACAACACATCCACAAGATCCACGCACCGGGAGGGGGCGTCACGCATTTACCGGAGGGCATCCTAGATGCGTTCCAGGAATACTCCGCGGCACTATACGCTCAAGCTCGGGAGGGCTCCGAGGCGCAGCACCACAAGGACCGAGTCACGGCATACCTTGAAAGTCATGCGGCCCGAAAACTCACCCCGGAGCAGGTGGCGGAACTAGACCAACCTCTGACGATCGAAGAACTGGTTGTACTCCTGTCAACAGGCGCCGAAAAGGCGTTCGACCGGGTGGACTGGACCTTCCTCTTGGAGACCCTAAGCCACATGGGGTTCGGATCACACATACGAACATGGGTTGCCGCTCTGTATGGGTCGACGGAGCATTGACTAAACCGTTCAGCATTGATAACGGCACCCGCCAGGGTGCCCCCTGTCGCCCCTCCTGTTTGCCCTCACTCTCTAACCCTTTTTGGAGGCGGTCAGGCGGGACGGAGGAATCACGGGGACCCGTCTGGGCAGGGAGCAACATCGTGTGGCGGCATATGCTAATGATATGCTTTTCTTCTTAGAACAACCCAGAATCTCAGCCCTGAATTTACTAGAGGCGTTTAAACGGTATAACAAAGTTTCTAACTTGAAACTTAACCTAGAGAAATCGGAAGCTACGCTGCTCGCTCAGGACGCTGCCCTAACGCAACACATCAAAGCAAACTTCCCGTTCAAAATCTAAGCTTCGATACCTCGGTATCTGGCTGCCGAAAGATCTCACGCAGGTATACCAATTGAATTTCGCCCCTCTCCTCGCGACACTACAGCAGGACTTAAAACGATGGACGTCCAAGTACATATCTTGGTTTGGCCGCATAAGCGCTATAAAAATGAATTTTAGGCCACGTATCTTATACCTATTTCAGACGCTGTCTACCACCATCCCCCAAGTCTTCTTCCAGACGCTATCGTCCAACATCAGACAGTTTGTTTGGAACCAAAGGCCCACACAGGTCCGAAGATCGATTCTGGAGTGACCAAAGAGCAAAGGAGGAATGGGATTTCCATCTGCACTCATGTATTACCAGGCGACCCACCTACACCGATTGGTTGACTGGCACGCCAACCCAAATACTAAGCAATGGGTGGACATGGAGCTCCAACAAGCACAAGGGAAGATCCCAGCCCTGCTGTGGCTGGGTGAGGCTACGTTCAGAGAGATATGCACAGGCAACCCAATGATAGACGCCACCCTCAGGGTCTGGTGCGGGATAAGGTACGCCAAGCGGCTCACCACATTCCCCAACCCGCTCACACCTATAACCAACAACCCAAAATTAGCTGGTGGACTAAACTCTTAAAAACTTCCAGGCGTCAGATTGGGTCTACCATCACCAATGGTGCAGCGGCCGAAACCTTAAACCACTGATAGACCTAATACAAGACCGCAGACCAACCAGACTAGACGAATTCCACTACCACCAACTCAAAACTTACTACAACGCTATCATGGGAAAGGACCATGTGCACCGCCCCCTACTATATCTTGAACAACTATGCACGGCCAGGCAACATCTCTCACATGGTGTATCAACTATGTATTCCGCACTGATGAATAGTGGAGACAATGGCGCTTTGGGCTTCACTGAGCGGTGGGAGAAAGAAACGGGGATCGAGCTCACGGACGCGGACTGGACCAAGGTCTTCCAGCTGACGTACAAAGGGACTATAAGCTCAAAATACCAAGAATGCAACTATAAAATATTGACGCACTGGTATAGGACTCCGGGCATGTTCATGACTCGATCCCCGGTGAATGCTGGAGATGCGGAACTTAGATGGGTACAGGATACCATATCTGGTGGACGTGCCCCCTCATAGTCCCATACTGGCAGATGGTAAACCGCACAATTGAAGAAATCACCGGCACCGAACTCCCACTGCAACCCCTGACGATGTTGCTCAACCACAAGGCATACAAAAAAGGGCTCACCATACACCTGCTCACGGCGGCAAAAACACTTATCCCCACACACTGGAAAAGCACAACAGTACCCTCCCTGGGGCAATGGATCGCCAGGGTGGAAGACAGCTACAATATGGAGATGATGACGGCCTCCCAGCAGGGACGAGCAGACAAATGTGCGCTGACCTGGTACCCGTGGATGGACTATATGACCAAAAGAGCTGCGGCGGCGGGCCTGCTTCGGGGTCGGCGGCTACTGGAGACTAACACAGACTCAAATCACACACACATGTGGACAATACCCTACAGTATTATACAGTGGTAGCACACATAAGGTTTGCAAAATATACTGTGCAAACTCACTTTGTGTGTCAAAAAGGCAGAAAAAACGCTTATTACCACTACACCTGGTACAAGCTAGCGGAAAAATTATCCCACGCTAAGGTTCAAAATATACCTTTTGAAATACCCTGGGGTGTCTACTTTAAGAAATGGTAGGCCTTTGTGGGGTAGTTTGAATTTAAAACCTGCGAAGATGCTTGTAAATTGCACATAGGCCCAGCGTCAAAATTCAAAGTTCGGTAAAAACTGATATGGCTTGGTCTCATATTGTCAGGATTACTGTTTGATCCAGCACATAGAACTGTACAGCACGAATGACAAATAAGTAACGTATTACCGGTCCTTAGAATGGCCGGATTTAACGTACAAAGAATAGTCAAAATTACTAGCCGAGGTCAGGGAACACAGAAAGGGACACAGCGATGAGGAAAGCCAGGAGTCAGGATACCAGAATATAGAGAAGTCAATAAACAAAGCCAAAGTCAAAAAACAGGTAGAAAACTATAAACAGGAACGCGCTCTCGGACAACCACAAGGGAAACCACGACAGGGCACTGAGCAGGATGAGAACTGGGCCTAAATACCCCTCCTCTAGTTCTGATAGGCTGTAACCGGCCTTTGACCCCAAAGTCAGTTACCGGGTTTCATTTGCATAATTGCTGCTCAGCATTAACCCTTCTGTGGATTAGGTTGCTGCTCGGCACAACTTTTCCTGTGTGGACAGTAAATGTCATTAACCACATTTCTATAAGCGGATGAATACGTGACATTACCCCCCACCTGAAGAACGCCCACCGGGTGGACAGGACCAGGCTTGAGAGGAAATTTAGCGTGAAAGCGCTGATCTTACGGCCGCATGCAGGTCAGGAGCCGAAACCCAAGAACGATCAGCAGGACCGTAACCTTTCCAAACAACCAAGTACTGTAAAGTGCCCCGAGAAAACCTAGAATCCACGATAGAAGATACCTCATACTCTTCCTGACCACCCACCACCACGGGAGGGGGAGGAACACAAGGAACAGTATATCTATTGCAGACAAGAGGTTTGAGTAAGGACACATGAAAAGTGTTGGGAATCCCTAAAGATGCAGGAAGAGCCAGAGAGTAAGACACTGGATTGATCCTACGAAGCACTCTATAGGGACCAAGGAATCTGGGGGCAAACTTCATGCTAGGGACCTTAAGCTTGATGTTGCAAGATGACAACCAAACCCGGTCCCCCACTTGGTACACCGGGTTGGCACTCCTACGCTTATCAGCAAAATGTTTGAAGCGTTCAGCAGCCCCTAGAGCAGTTTGAACCTTAACCCAGGTATCCCGAATGGAGGCCAGACGCTCATCCAGAGCAGGAATGGCAGTATCAGAAAATACCGCAGGGAGAACCGTAGGATGCCTACCATTATTGACAAAAATGGACTGTGCCCAGAGGAGTCATGAACAGCATTGTTTCTAGCGAACTCGGCCCACGGGAGTAGTTCTGACCAATTGTCTTGTGTGCTATTAATAAAACAACGCAAATAAACTTCTAATGACTGGTTAGCCCTCTCAGCTGTACCATTGGTCTGTGGATGGTAGGAGGAGGAGAAGGAGAGATCAATCCCCAATTGTTTACTGAACGCCCTCCAGAACCTGGATGTCACGTGCGTGGGCTAAAGGCCCAGCCGAGACAGTGGGGATAGTGTGGAAGTGACAGGGTTAATGACACCAGACCCCTGGTTACCTGTTGCTAGTCCTAGCAACCACTCAATTAACCCCTGTAATCCCTTCTACACTAACCCCCTTAATACACTTTACTCTACTGCCACCACCAAGACTTTTAAACCCGGGCGTCTTAGGTTACCCCACACACAGGAGAATTATAGTATCACAGTTCTACTTTTACTGATAAAACATATATAGTTAACCCTTTTTGGTAACGTGTTTACCTGAGCTTTCCTCTGGAGAGTGAAGCTCATAGAGAACAGAGACACAAGCTGATTAAGTAAACATTTAATCTGACAAAAAGGATTCACAGTGCTGAGTACAAAATACAGAAATAAATGACATACAAATAACAAATTGCAAAACAGTACATAAAATAAAATAGGAGAAAACACAAGAAATTCCTTACATATATTTACCCTATATATTTACATATATTTACCCTATATACGGAATGCCCCCACTAAAAACCTGTAAAAAATGTAAAAGGTTTTCTTTAATTAATCCACACTCCTTAATTAAACCATACCCCTTAATTAATCCATACCCCTTAATTAATCCATACCCCTTAATTAATCCACACTAATTCATCCACACACCCTTAATTAATCCACCCCCTTAATTGATACACACACCCTTAATTAATCCACACTAAT